GGTGGTGGTCTTTCTGTGGCCATGAATTAGTTTTGCCTGTTTTGTTATAGATCTTCATACATTGTGTGCTCTTTTGCATCTGGCTTGTTTTTGCTCAGTATGTTTTTGAAATCAATCCTTGTTCTTTCACGTATCGGTTCATTCTTTGTGTTACGGAGCAGCATTCCCTTACACGGATGGACCACAATATGGTCATCCACATTTGGGCATTTGATATTTATCACTTTGTACTCTTACCGCTTATTTTCCTCAACCAGTTGAGATCTCTTGTCTAGTGTCATGGCCCCTGCCGACTGTTCCTTTCCTACTTGACATACAAGTTTTATTTAATTGGACCATCTTTATTATGCCCTCCTTTACCTTAGGATCTCTGGGCTATTGCACTGATAGAACAACCCATCAAGTAATCCTGCCACACTAGGCATGCAAGGGAGTTACCGCACTGGGGGACATCCCCCGTTACAGATGTTCAGTCTCTGCGTCCCTCCTCCATGTGCTTCACGACCTATTACAGAAGTGAGGAGCTTCATATTAGGTGGATGCGTGAAGTTATTGTATGAAATTTAAATATGAGCATAAGGATGGCACTGAGCGCTGAGGTTAGAATGTGCCCGTCTGGGCTTGTCAGTGGCTCTGATCTATTCCTTGCTCCTCCCCTGCTCAGCTTTGAGTTATGGGAAGGCTAACCCCTCCAAGCTGCACTCTCCAGTGTCTTGTCTGGCAAAGCCTAAATGCTGTCATGCTTTCCAGGGCACTGAAAATGAGGGAAAGGGGAAACGAGGCGAGGGAGGATGGGAAATACATGCAAGACGGCCCATAACTGAGCTGGCCACTGCTCTATGAAGAAACGAAACCGGTCGCTTGGCCCTGGAGAGTGGCTGCACCGGGACACCCTGAGTGTAAACAGTCAACGGAGGGAAAAGTGAGGAGAAGATTTATACACCAGTCCCCTTCCATCTCTCATCTCCCAGCTGTTACAGCTTATCCCAAGCAAAAGCAAATAACCTGCACTTCTAGTATGTACGGCTCCTCAGACCCGGCTGTCACATCCTGTGGTTTGGTGCTTACCAGAGTCCACAGATGGTGTTCCGAGCTAGACTCTTCAGCTGCAGACTTCAGACGGTGGAAACTGCAGCCCCACTTACAGATGATCACTGCAAGGGCAATAGTGTGAAAGCAAGTGGTTAAGAACCAAGAGGCGTATGAAGCTGAGGCTGAGAATGTGAGAAAGTGCCTAAGATGTCTTCGATAAACCAGGCTCCCCGATTCTAGGTGGGTTTTGTCAAGAGGAGATGCTGATAGGAAATGGGAGGATGAGAGAAAGGAGAAGCCAGGGTGGCTTTAACCCTTGTCTACTTTAGATTTCTTCTCTAGCAACAGCGACACTGCTTCTCTGCTCCTGCTCCTCACTGGACAGATCTATGGTTCTAGCTTCTGCCAGGGGTCCTGACTCCAGGAAACCACCTCTTTCCTTTTCCCCTCGTTTAGGGGGTAGTTGAAACTTCCTGGTATTTGTTAAACTCTGGGTTTCCTTATTGATTCCTAGGTGATTTCTTAGCATCTTTGTCACCTTTGTAATCAATTCCCTGAGTTAAATTCCCTCTGTTTTAAATACTCAGATTTCTGTTTTCCTTGCTGGACCCTGACGATACACGTATGTTTTCTCGTTTTCTCATTGTGACCACCCTGTAAGGTAATTCAGGCATACCTTGGCGGTGCTGCAGGTTCGGCTCCAGACCACTACAGTCAAGTGAGTATCGTGATAAAGTGAATGTTGCAATAAAGTGAGTCACACACATTTTTTTGGTTTCTCAGTACATATAAAAGTTACGTTTATACTGTAGTCTATTAAATGTGCAACAGTATTATTATGTATAAAAAAGAGTGTACATGCCTTAATTAATAATCACAAAAAATGCTAACTATCATCTGTGCCTTCAGCAGGTTGTAATCTTTTTACAGGTGAACAATCTTGCCTTGGTGTTGATAGCTGCTGACTGATCAGGGTGATGGCTGCTGAAGGCTGGGGTGGCAGTGGCGATTTCTTAAAACAAGACAGCCCTGAAGTTTGCCACATCAGTTGACCCTTCCTTTCACAAGCAGTTTATCTACAGCATGCAGTGTTGTTGGATAGCATTTTACCCACAGTAGAGCTTTCTTTCAAAATTGGAGTCAATCTTTTCAAACCCTGCCACTATCTTATCAATTAAGTTTATGTAGTGTTCTGAATCCTTTGTTGTCATTTCAGCAGTCTTCACAGCATGTTCACCAGGAGTCATTTCCATCTCAGAAAACCACATACTTGGCTCATCCAGAAGAAGCCACTCCTCATCTGTTAAAGTTTTATCATGAGATTTCAGCAATACAGTCCCATCTTCAGGCTCCACTTCTGACTCTAGTTCTCTTGCTCTTTCCACCACATCTGTAGTTAATTCCCCCCATAAAGCCTTGGACCCCTCAAAGTCATCCATGGAGGTTGAGATCAGCTTTTTTCAGATTCCTGTGTATGTTGATATTTTGACCTCTTCCCATGAGTCACACATGTTCTCAGTGGCATCTAGAATGGTGAATCCGTTCCAGAGGTTTATAATTTGCTCAGATCCATCAGAGGAATCATAATCTATGTCAGCTGTAGCCTCACAAGATATATTTCCTAAATAATAAGACTTGAAAGTCAAGCTTACTCCTGGATTCATGGACCGTTGTGTTAGCAGGCACGAAAACAACAGTGCTCTCATTAGACATCTCCATCAGAGCGCTTGGGTGACCAGGGACATTATCAGTGAGCAATAGCATTTTGAAAATCTTTTTTTTTTCCCCCTGAGCAATAGGTTTCAAATGTGGGCTAAAAATATTCAGTAAACCATGTTGTAAATAGGTGTTCCCTGGTCTAGGCTTCGTTGTTCCATTTATAGGGCACAGGCAGAGTAGATTTGGTGTAAGTCTGAAGGGCCCAAGGAATTTTGGAATGATTAAGAGTATTGGCTTCAACATAAAGTCATCAGTTGCATTAGCTCCTAACAAGAGGGTCAGCTTGTCCTTTGAAGCCTTTAAGCCAGGCACTGACTTCTTTCCATCTATAAAGGTTCTACGTGGCATCTTCTTCTCATATAAGGCTGTTTCATCTACACTGAGAATCTGTCGTTTAGTGTAGCCACCTTCATTGATGATCTGAGCTGCATCTTCTGGGTAACTCGCTGCAGCTTCTACGTCAGCAGTTGCCACTGCACCTGGCACTTCTGTGTCATGGAGATGGCTTCTCTCCTCAAACCTCATGAACCAAACCGCTAGCTTCGTACTTTGCTTCTGCAGCTTCCCCACTTCTCTCTGTCTTCACAGAATTGCAGAGTTAGGTCTTGCTGTGGGTTAGGCTTTAGCCTAAGGGAATGTTGTGGCTGATTAGATCTTCTGTCCAGACCACTATGACCTTCTCCATATCAGCAAGAAGGCTGTTTTCTTATCATTCATGTGCCCACTGGAGTGCACATTTTATTTCAGGAACCTCAAGAACTTTTCTTTTGCACTCACAGCTTGGCTAGCTCTTTGGTGCAGTAGGCCTAGCTTTTGGCTTATCTTGGCTTTTGATACACCTTCGTCACTAAACTTAATCGTTTCCAGCTTTTGATTTAAACTGAGAAATTCGTGACTTCCTTTTACTTAAACGCTTAAAGGCCATTGGAGGATTGGTAATTGGCCTAATTTCAATGTTGTTGTGTCTCAAGGAATAGGGGGGCCCAAGGAGAGGGGAATGGCTGGTTGATGGAGTAGTCAGAAGACACCCATTTATCCATTATGTTCACCATCTTCTATGGGAGCACTTTGTGGCACCCCAAAACAATGACAATAGTAACATTCAAGATGACTTACGGCAGATCACCATAACAAATATGACAATAAAGAACAAGTTTGAAGTATTGTGGGAATCACCAAAATGTGCACAGAGACGTGAAGTGAGCAAATGCTGCTGGAAAAATGGCACCGATAGATTTGCTTGCTGCAGGGTTGCTGCCAACCTTCAACCTGTAAAAAGTGGAATTATCTTGTGATGTACAGTCAAATGAAGATTGCTTGTGCCATTCTCTCCATTTTATAGATAAGAAAGCTAAGGCTTGGCAAAATTATTCAGTTAATTTTGGGGTTTGAACCCTTTCCCTGATTTTATCTGCTATGTTTTTGTCAGAATCTCAAAATAGACTCCAGATATTTTATACAAAAATTCACAAGATAATTCAGTTTTGGGAGTGGCTGTTGTGTAATAAATGAAGTTTAAAACAAAAACTAACTTAATGGCCCTCAGCTTGAGTTAAGTATGCTTTGAAACAGTTTGTAAGATTTATTTTCTAGAAATCCAAATAGCAAGAGTACTTTTTGAAAACTTAGAATAGTTGCTGCCACTTTAATTTTGTTTGCTACAGTTTTCAAAGGCTCTTTCTCACATTTGATTTTGTAATTTTGTACTACGGCCACCAGATGGCATCATCACACAAACCAAGCTCTACAATCAAGGCTCTTAAATTTAAAAATCTTGCTCTGTAGAATAGAGTCATAAATATATTCTCACAAACTGCTACTGGGGATGTTAGCTACTGTAAATAGATTTAGCAAACTATAGTCTTAGTCTTAAAAATGATAGTACTTTCTGAGCTAATGATTCTACTTTAGAGATTTATCTTCAGAAAATAATACATATGAACCAAATGCTACACACTTAGATTTTTACCTTAGCATTATTTGAATTGCCAAATACCAGGGAAAAACCTTACACCCAACAAGAGGGGATGGGTTAAATATATAGGTTAAATATATATGCTGTTACCATACAATTGAAAAATATAAAAATTAAAAAATAATTTTTATGATGTATTCAGTGATATGAAATGCTTCTGAAATATTTCTGTTAATTGAAAAATTTGGATTGTAAAATAATGTGTGATCCCTACCATGTACAAAATGTACATAGAAAACATAGAAAGGAAATATATTGACATAATTTTAAAAAGAGATTGTAAGGTTTTTTCTTCATGTTTTCCTTGTTGCTCCAATTTTCAACAATGAGTAGCTGGAAAAAAATCATACGTTATTAAGAAGAAGAAATCAAGTCAGAACAACAAAGCGAGGGAATAAAATTTGGGGTTGCTTATCATCATTTCAAATTCTTTGTATTCAACTATGTTAAACAGTAAAAAAAGTTTGTGTATTCATTAATTATCCAGTGTTATTTTATATGCCAGACACTGCCCTGGGTGTTGGTTATACAAAAGTGATTAAGACACAGTGTCTGCTTTTATGGAACGTATGACCAAGTTGAAGAGAGAGACGGATAAGCAGACTATTTTGTCAAGTAATACGGCAGACTCATGCTAAGCCTTATAGTGGAGCAATACATTTTCTTTTTTCCACTTGATAGTCCTAGTTCCCCCAGTTTGAACTCAAATATTTGATTTATGACTGTGACGTACTAACCTTTGTACGTGTTTTTCTTTGTTTAAGAATTTCCAAGAACAAACATGATCATGAGTAAATAGTATCTGCACTGTCTATCCGGGGGTTACAAGCACTTACCTGTTAGGAGAGACATCATCTACCCGTGAGAATGGAGTGTTGCCGCCGTGGTCGCGGTGGATTTTGGTGCAGAACACTGCCGCAGAGAAGTCTCGGTTGTCTGACGTTACCAACACTGGGATTGCAAGGGCGAGATGAGCATGTGCTAGGGAGGTTGGTGGGCCTTTCTTCCTAAGAGTAAGAGAAGGTCTGGTCCACGGCCCTTCACCTACAGAACATTTAAGATGCAGTCCCGATGAGGGAGAGACATTGAAGAATCATTCTGAAAGCAGAAAAGGTGAATGGAAATGCTTTCAACAAGGTAAGGAGACTGCACATCTTGCGTTATTTCGACTGAAAAAAATGCACAACATGAGAGTTAAATTTTATTTGGGGCCAAATGAGGACTGCAGCCCTGGAGGCAGCCCCTCAGACAGCTCTGAGGAACTGCTCCAAAGAAGCAGCGGGGAGGTCAGCACACGTGTGATTTTGGTGAAGGGGTGGAGGTACGTGCAGTCAAGCACACGTTTTGGCAGAAGGTTGCTGCTTGTCCCGAGGAGCAGATGTCTCCCTGAATGCCTGTGGTGCTTCTCTAGATATGAGAAGATGCAAGAAATTGGGCTCCTAGGGTCTCCTGCAAATATCCAACTATCTGAAGTCCTGTTCTGCCAGCTTTTCCCAGAGCACAGAGCGCCTTATTCCTGATCTCCACCCTGAACTCCTCTCAGGGTGTGTTGAAGATCAGGGACTGCAGTGGCTGGTGACATTGTTCTTGTAGTGTCAGATGGCAGGTGGCGGTTTTTAGCTGGCACTGATTCAGGCTGCAGATGCTGCTGGAGCTCAGTGGCTCTCTCCTCCCCCTGCCCCCGCAGTTCTCCAAAAAACTCCCAATCTGCCCACCTGAACTAGCCACTTCCTCCCTCCTGGTTCATTTCCTGGTATATTGTGAGCACATTCTGGCCATCTGGAGGCAAATTTCTAGCCTGCCCCTGTTTTGTTCCCGTCTCTCAGTATTAAATTTTGTGCGTGATGTCCCTTGAAGGTAAAATAAAAAGATTTTGTGGGAAGTCCAGTATTTAAAATTTTGTTTTTGGAATTTGACATAATGTTTTCTGTTATTAACAGAAAAGTGGGATGAGAAGGTACACGTAATTCAGTTTTTATTTCTTGCCTGTAAAGTAGGCATGAACCTACTACGTGAGGTCATAGATGCGCACTTACATGCCCTCTTGGGAGTCACCTAATGCCTCTAACTCTGAGTTTGCTCATCTGTAAAATGAGGGTAACTGTTGCCCAGTGTGCTGAGGCGTAGATGAAGTGACTGATGCAGGAAAGCAACAATAGCAAAAAGCCCCCCCAAGCTCCCCAAAGCTGTGCTTGGCACTTCCCTAAATGTTAGTTTGCCTCATTAGTAAGCAATAAAATGTAGATGACAGAACAAAGAACTGGCCCACACTATTCATCTTTGAAGAGAGGAAAAAATACTCTAAAAAACACAACCGCAACAAACAACGAACAGTCCATGTTCAATCATCAGACACTTTAATACAATATCAGATCCTCACGTGTATGTTTCCTATTGTGACCATCCTGGGGGAGTCCATGACCAAGAGGCCAGGTTTAAAGTAAGCCACGGATTTAAAGGTAGATCTCAAATCTATCATATTTTTTAAAATGTACCTTTTCTTTCATTCCCAGACCTTGCATGAAAGTGAGGAGAGAGAGGAGGCCACTGTCGGGCTCACCCCGCCTCACGCGGTGAAACGCACGTCACTCTGGGTCTGGCGGTGGAGCGAGCTCTTTCAGCTTGAGACTTCCTGTGTGGTTTTAGCTCAAGGACCAGAGGTACCTCAGCTCTTTTTCTTCCTCTGCTGGGCTTGCTATGTTGACAACCTCTCAGGAAGCGTCTGGGTCTATTTTGTGTTTTATTTTCATAGCACATTTCGCAGTGTCTTTTATAATGGACTTGTAGTTACGCTTATGATGGTGGAGGGTTGAGTTGGCATAGACGAATAGCAGGTGATCTAAAACTTGATCATGTGTTATTCAATTATATTTTAGAGTTGGCTTGAACATAGTTTGACAAAGCAATATCGGATGACATGTCCTGAGCTTGAACTAACTGATAACCAGTGAGGGTGGGCCAGGAGGGTGCCGGTAGGGAAAGAAGTGAGCATGAAAAAACGCAAAAGTAGATTCACTAAGCGAAGAAGACGTTGGCATGTGTCACTGGGAGGTGAGCTCAGGGCCACATTTCTATCCAGGCTGTGCCTTGAACCTCTCCAGCACTGTGCCTGCTCTTGGTGTATAGGCATCAAGTGGTTTTTTTCAGGTATCAAAAATTGGGATAAGGGTGAGGGTCTAGCTCAGTGGTGGAGGGTGTGCTTAGCATGCACGAGGTCCTAGGTTCAATCCCCAGTACCTCCATTAAAATTTTTTTTTAAATAATAAAAAAAAAAATTGGGATGCAGACAAAAACATAAAGTGCAATGCAGCCTGGTTTCTATTCTATTAAAACGTAATGGGATGCCATGTAAAGGATTCAGCATATCCCCATTTTCTGTCTAGCTTAAGAAAGAATTGTATACTTAGGTACAGCCTTACTTCTGAACTATGGTTAGCCTCTGGCTATTTAACTTTTTAGTTTCTCACTTTTTATTTGTCTTCCCCGTGGGCTTAATGTTAGGGACTTTTGATAGCTGTGACTCATTTGCTTCTGAAGTCAGTATCCGTGGATTTCAAACTTTAGTTTGCATCAGAATCATCTGGAGAGCCTGTGACAATGCAGATTGTTGGACCCCACCTCAGAGTTTCTGATTCAGTGATTCTGATTCCAAATTTGTGTTTTTAACAGTTCTCAGGCGATGCTTATGCTTCTGGCCTGGGACCGTACTTGAAGACCTGCTCCTGTTTACTTTCAATTGTTTCGCAATGCAAGTGTTCATTATGTTGACCTTTACCCTTTGGCCAGTCTGAGAATCCTTCCTGGGCACTGGTGTTCTCTGACAAGAGACACTGCTGTCCATTTCTTCAGAGTCTCAAGTAGCCTTTCCATTCCTGAGAATATTTTCTGATAAATGTTATTTCCCCAATAGAATCTGCTCTCAGAATGAAGATTTATATATTTCTTCTCTCAGTAAGGTTCACGCCTTTCTTTTGTAGCCAAAGACCCCTTCTTCTCTTGTTCACACGGGAATCCCAGTGGTAAACAGGAAATTCAGCTGAGTTCCATCTTGGTCGGGGTCAGGATTATCCTTTTGTGGTTCAGGCCCTCACAGGATGTCCAGGCTTCTCCTGCTTTCTCTTGAGGAGAGCTTAAAAGTGTCCAGAACTGTTGAGATAAAAAATGGCCCAAAGAAGACAGGTAGTAGAAAGTTCGTGGTCTCGGACAATGGGTTACTTTCTGCTTTCCGTTCTGTTATGTTCAAAAGTTCCGTTAGTACCCACTTCCCCTTGACTCTGTACTCCACTTGTCTGTCTTTCTTGTCCCCAGTGCCTGGGGAAAACATCACACTCAACAAGTGCATCTCCACTTCAGTCTCCTAGAGTACTTTGCAAATTAGGGTCAGCTTTGTTCCAAGCTGGGCGAGAAAGAGTGCCTTTCAGGCTGTGAGTGAGAGGGAGGGAAAACTGGGAGCACAAAAAGGCAGCCGGGGTAACTGTCCTGTAACTCTGTGTCTCTGTGTTTATATATTCACTCATAAATACCTTAGTTCATTCATGTAGTCTTTCTTCATTCAGCAAATATTTATTGAGTCCCATGTGCCTTCAGTTAACACTGTTAACCAAAACTTCAGAAACCAAGACCTGGTTGAAATAAAGAGGTGTTTGTTAGGGATTTGTTAGGACTGCAGCTTGGGAGGCACGGATTCAAAAAGAAGCACTTGAGTTGTGGCCCACAGGACACCAAGATAGGAGGAAGATTTTTAAGTGCAAAAACTACAACTACAGTGAGTTACGTAAGTTGTTTGTCAAGAATTATTATTGGAGCTGGCAAGAAGTGAGAGTGCTCGCTAAGAAGGATTGTTTGGGGTCTGAAATGGTTGCCAAGTTACAAGGCAGGAGCTTGAGACCATAAGGTTGCAGCTGGTGGATGTTGTCCCAAATCCCCCTGGTGGTGTCCTCGGGTTTGGTTTAGTTCAGAGAAAATACAAGTCCTAGGGGTGCAGGGACGCGTCTGAGACCAGATCCTCAATGGCTTTCAACTCCACTTCTGTACACCTGATCTATGATCATTCCATTATAATTCCAGTTTGTCATCAACACTAGCCTCCACTTTAAAAAAGGGATTAGTTTCCCTCCCCATGTACTATTTTCTAATTAAATTAAAATAGTATATACTTAAACATATATTGAATGTGTATATGCAAATTAAACATGTAAATATATATACAATTCAACATATGTGTGAAGTGTGATTTTACATGTATGTGTCATGGGCTTTACTCTTAGTCTCTAATCAAAGATGATAAAGAATTAATGATCTATGGTACAAATGCAGTTTTATTTTATTTCAAAGTCTCCAAGAGTTAAAATACATTTTTTTTTTGCTTTAAAAATGCTATCCTTTATTGAATGTATTTCTGGAGTTTCTTAACAATTTTCAGCAGTTAATATATCTATTCCTCTATAGTGTCTACTTGATCACAAATATGACACCTGGAATTAAAAAAAGAGCTTGTTCAACATTCTTAAATGCATAATAATATATAGTTAAAACATCTGGATGAAAATTAAAATTATTAGCAATCGATACAGTACATAAAAGTACACAGAAGAAAAAATTTTACCGTGGATAATCACTTAAAGATTCTTTTAAACTTCCTTCTAGTTATTGTTTAATTTTCTTATTTAATTAACCTGACAATTGTTTTTTTAATTAAGTATAGATTTTTTTTGTGTATATATATATATAATATATATATATATGTTTTTTTTCTTGTTGAAGTGTAGTCAGTTTACAATGTTGTGTCACTTTCTGGTGTACAGGACAATGCTTCAGCCATACATGAACATACATATACTTGTTTTCACGTTCTTTTTCACCATAGTTATACAAAATATCAAATATAGTTCCCTGCGCTATACAGCATGAACTTGTTTATCTGTTCTATATATATCAGTTAGTATCTGCAAATCTCTAACTCCCAATTTATACACGCACCCCCACCAGTAACCACAAGTTTGTTCTCTATGTCTGAGAGTCTGTTTCTGTTTTGCAAGTAAGTTTGTCTTTATTTTTAGATTCCACATGTAAGTGATATTGTACAGTATTTTTTCCTCTTTCTGGCTTATTTCACTTAGAATGACCATCTCCAGGTCCATCCATATTGCTGCAAATGGCATTATTTTAATTTTTTTATAGCTGAGTAGTATTCCATTGTATAAATATACCACGACTTCTTTATCCAGTCATCTATCAATGGACGTTTAGGTTGTTTCCATGTCTTGGCTATTGTAAATAGTGCTGCTGTGAACATTGGGGTGCATGTATCTCTTTGAATTAAGGTTCCCTCTGGAAATATGCCCAGGAGTGGGATTGCTGGATCATAGGGTAAGTCTGTTTTTAGTCTTTTGAGGAATCTCCGTACTGTTTTCCATAATGGCTGCACTTATTCACAATGATTATTTCTAGGTGGTGTATAACATTTTATATTTAAAAAACACTTTTCTTTGTACCTCAAGAGCATGGAAAACAAAAAGGAAATACAATCTACAAGTAAAGGGAGGAAATCATAAAATTAAAAACAGAAATCAGTAAAATTTGAAATAAAAATAATAAATGTAACAATAAGTTTTGAAAAGATCAGTGACATTGATGATCCTCTCTCTGGACTGATCAAAAGAAAAAAAGATAGGCATGGAAGACCAATACCAGGAATGGAAGAGCAGCGTTGTTACAGAGAGTATTAACATTAAAAGGATATTAAGGGAATGTTATGTAGAACTTTTTGATAACAAATTCTAAAACCTGCATGACATAGACAAATTTATTGAGAAAACATGGTCTTTTAAAACACACACAGAAAGAATTTGATAACCTGAATTGTTGTATATCTAAGAAAAGATATTGAATTTGCAGTTAAAACATTCCAGAGGAAATTCCAGATGTGAATTCTACCAAATATTTAAAGAATAAAGATAAAAACTTGAAAAAAAAAAAAACCTCTTCCAACAGACAGAAGAGAATAAAACACATTCCAACCAGTTTTGTAAAGTCCCTGCTACTTGGATATCAAAACCAGATAAACATGAGAAACCACAGGCCACATGCACAGAACATCACAAACATCCTCAGCAAATGCTGACACACTGACTGACCAACTTACACAAAAGTTTATGCGTCATGATGGATTGGGGTTATTCTG